CAGTGGGTTAAGCGTCCAACTTCAGCTCAGGTCATGATCTTAAGGCTCGTGATTTTGAGCCCCGCGTTGGGCTCTGTGCTAACAGCTCAGAGCCTGGAGCCTGCTTCAGATTCTGTCTCCCTCTCTTTCTCTGCCCCTCCCCACTCTTACTCTGTCTCTCTCTAGAAAATAAAATAAATGTTAAAAAAAAAGTTTAAAAAAAGAATCACCTTCTCTACATTTATTTTCTGGATATAAAAGCTCTGACAAATGCTCGTGTATTCAGAGCCCTGCCTCTTCCTTTCCTCCTCCGGGAAATGCCCTGCTCTTCTCCAGAGGAGAGGTTTGTCCTGGCAGCTCCTTCCATGGGACACTATTTGCCTGGCATGCCTTATGCTTGTTTAACAAGAAAGAAATCATTTACTTTTTTTCTGATGCTCTTCTCCATCCTATGTTCCTTTGATTAAAGAAATGCTCTGAACTTACACAACTTACACAACTCTGAACACAAACTCTGATTTTTGAAAAGTCGGGGTTTCTTTTAATGCGGAGAAGCAGAAAAGCACACAGAACACATTACTACCTTCATATACTTGATCTGCTTTCTGTTTCTTGAATCCCCTACAGCTTTACATTTCAGAGTACCATATTCTTGTCTTTCCATTTCTAACACTATATGCCTGTAATACACATTTCCTTAAACAACTACAAATAATACTGAGGATTTTAAACAACCACACCAGCTACTAACACTTGACCACCTTCCGTGCCAGGCTCTGGCAAAGTGCCGAAGTCCTGTGTGCTGGGCATGCTCGGTAGTCCCATTCTCAAATGAACCACATGGGGCTGAGAGAGGGGAGGTCATTTCCCAGGGTCACACAGCTGGGACTGGCAGAGGAGAGCCAGGTCTACCAAACTCTGGCGTCTGGGCTCCTCCCCGTGGCACAGATCACGTTCCCTAGTGCAAAACAGAGACCTGAGAGTACACTCTGCAGAGCAAAACCTTTGTTGTGTGTGCCAGAGGGTAGAGAGGGAGAGTCTCATGAAAGCCTTTTCTCCCTGTGACTCTAGAAAATCCCACTTGGCCTCTTGCAGGATTGATTTTTCCTCAGATTTCGCTTATCAGCAATATTCCCACCGAGACTTGCTGTTCACTGTTGCTCTGTATTCTTGCTAAATTTCAGAGATTTCTTTTAAAAAAATGTTTATTTTGAGAGAGGGAGAGAGAGAGAGAGAGAGAGAGAGAGAGAAAGAGAGACAGAGAGAGAGAACGCACTCGAGCAGGGGTGAGGCAGAGAGAGAATCCCAAGGACGCTCTGTGCAATCAGCGCAGAACCCCATGCAGGGCTTGATCTCATAAACAGTGAATTATGACCACAGCCAAAATCAAGAGTCGGACTCTTAACCAACTGAGCCACCCAGTTTGAGCACCCCAAATTCCAGAGCTTTTAAAAGGAAACTCTCCATTGTCTTAGTAATACCAAAGAGATTGCATTTGTTTATTGCCTGCTACAACAAGTCTCCAACCCTAGGAGATCTTCTGAGGCTCATCTGAAACTCCTTACGTGCTCTGTAGAATTCCTGTGGATGTATTTTCATTCAATAAAATATGTTGTGGTTGGAGTTGTGGCCCTGCCAGATTAACATACTGCCACATTCTGTTGTTCAAAACTCTCTATCTTTTCATCTGTCTGGTGTTTCCTAAAGCTGCCTAAACATATTATGGGCATGCTAGACAATAAATCCTCAAAGCATTCCCTGCAGGCAGATAGAAACGGAAAAGAGAAAATGTTGCCATCCCAAACATTACACTTGAGCAAATGCAGACAGACAAGATTACTTGAAATTGATGCTTTCAGTGATTTGGCGATGGAGGTAAGGCTATCGTTTAGGTATTTCCTGGTATAGTACCCCTCCCTCCGCCCCTTTTTTGTTAAA